AAGATAGAAAATAAATATGTTTTAAAAGAAAAGAAAAAGATCACTTAGATAACAGACCTGAAACGATAAAATCTAGGCCATAATGACCTAAAACTTTTCCTGAAATACTTCTTGAATACCGGGAAGTCAACTTTTTCTTACAATTTTCCATCATTAAATAATGCAACATAAATATAATTCTTAATAAAACTTCTGGCAATGCAATTTAATTCCTGTACTTATTAAATTAAGGGAATTTAATAGTAGAAATTTTCTGGAATTGACTAATAATTACCAACTATTTTTATGGGAGATAGTTTTGTGGAGTTTTTTTTTTTTTTTTTGAGACAGAGTCTCGCTCTGTCACCCCAGGTAGAGTGCAGTGGTGTCATCATAGCTCACTGCAACCGCAAACTCCTGGGCTCAAGCGATCCTTCTGCCTCAGCCTACCAAGTAGCTGTGACTACAGGTGCACGCCACCACGCTTGGCTGATTTTTCTGCTTTTAGTAGAAAAGTTTGTCTCGCTCTTGTTCAGGGTGGTCTGGACACCTGAGCTCAAGCAATCCTTCCGCCTCGGCCTCCCAGTGTGCTAGGATTACAGGCGTGAGCCACCACACTGGTCTATCAGAGAATAGTTCTTTTAACTCATTCAAAAGCTCAAGTGACTTAATTTTGGAGCTATAATAAGAAAATCCACCATTAGTTCTCAAAAATAAGACAAAACAAAACAAAACAAAACCCACCTTAATAATTTCCAGACAGCAGCGGTAAGTTTCAACTTTCACTTGTGGCAACGGGTGAGACAACATATGTAGAAACACCTTCTGACTTTCTCCTTGCAGTAATGGACTGGCCTGTGCAGATTTCCAGCTGGCAAAAATGTAAAACATCGAAGAAGTCTATGGCAAGTTTATTGGAAGGGATTTCTTCCTACTCCAATTCCTCCAACTGGGATTTTATTTAATCAACTAATATTAGCAAGTACTTACCTAAGCACTTATTTGTTTCAGGGTAGAGAATATTCTCTCTTAGAATACAACAAAACCCAAAATGTCTTTAAAAACTCATACTTAATTGATGTTTATCACATCATAGAATTTATTCTTTCCAAAAGCAATGATGATACTAAGTTCTAAATAGGAATCTGTTCTGATGTCCACAAAATAAATTAACCAATATATAGTGCTTTCTACAAATCCACATAAGAAAAAAGGTACAAAGTAATAAAACTTACAAAACAAAATCTTCAAGTTATTAGTTAAGACTTTAAAGATAAATAAACACATGTGCTTGAATAGTCTGGATGAATACCAAAAACAAATGTATAAAAATCCAAGGACCATTCATTTTGATTATGGGAATGACATTTTTAAAGTTTAATCTTGAATAAAACAGTCAAATTTCCTAATGCAACTGTACATGTACAGTTTAAAGGTCAGACACATATAAAGGCAATTTAAACTAAAAAAATAACAAAGAAGATCCGTTTCATTTTCATTGTTCCTAAATTTACACACACATGTACACACACACACAGTCCTATGACAATATAATCACATTAAGAAAGAAAATATTACATCTTTGAACAAATGCAGATGATTTCCTTTATTAAGGGGAAATGCTGATGATAGGAAAAGCTACGCAAGGCTTGGTCTGCCAACTCCACTAATTCTAAGAGATTCTTCTCTCCCTAAAAAAGAAGCAGAATGGGGCAATAAATGTCAAGCTCATGTAAAATAAAATTCTTAACAGCTAACTAAGCAGCTTTAAGAAATTAGATCATTCAGAGACCCTGAGATTGTTCACATTTGTTTAAGTCCACTTTCTCAACAAGCAACCTAAAAATGTCAGCCTAGGAAGAAAAATATGAGAAAAATCCCTAGCTAAATACCACATGAGACTTTCTATTATTAACTCTGAGTAACCTTAAAGTTATAATCCAGTTGCCTGGTTCTTTGACTACTTCTTTTAGCCCTACCTCCCCTAATAAAGGCAGGGGTAGTATATTTTATTATCCACCTCCCTCTTCTAATATTCTAACCGGTTCTAAGAACATAGAGGACATTCGATACATGTGTGATTAACTGATCACGTAGAATGCCACAGAAATAAATTCAACCTAAAGACACAATTCAAAATTCTGTCATAGAAGAAACAAGAAGCCAGTGGCATCGAGATGTAGCAAGAGGAAAAGAAAAAAAAAAAGAAAGAAAGAAAGAAACCACAGTGGGTTAATAAGGAAAATCATAAATATGAGGTTCAGAGAGACTCCACTGTAAGGACCAAATGACATAAGAATTTTGTCCCTAATTCTTCAAGATCTTCAGGATCCATTTTGGTATTTTCAGACAATAAACAACTATTATAGTCAATGTCTGTCTCTAAGACTCATTAATCCTTTCACTGATAGCATAATAAATAATATCTTAATAGTATTTTTAAGAGATAAGTATTGATACATAATTATTGCTATAACATTGTACCTAAAGTCATCCTTACCATACAATGTAGTTCATGATTATATTTAATTAAAAAAATCCAGTTCTTTGTATAAATATGTAATAAGCGATTATAAAATATTAAATCAAAAACATGTCCACAAGTAAGCACTAAAATGGCCCTTATAATTCTGCTTACATCAATTGTCACTCAGTTCATGTACAGTGAGTTACTTCATAGAGGTATTTGTTATTAAATATTAAAACATTTATAACTGCTGCTTTTTTAAAAACCATTGATATTAGTAATATATACCATTCATTAATCTAAAGTCTCTGTTTTACTCTTATACAAATCACATCCTTACTTTAATCTGATATTTGACTCACTCAGTAATAATGTATCCCACAACTAACAATTCAATTGTTATACATACATCAATTTGAAAAATATGTTAAATTTTCTAAATATTTCATCAAAGGAATTTAAAAGAGTTTTTTTTTGTTTTTGTTTTTTGGTAGTGTGGTGAACAGACTTTAAGTTCACTCTCACGATTCTACCTCTTGGTGGTCATTTCCTTGTCAGATTGCCTTCCCTTGAGTGTGGATGGAACCTATAACTTCCTTCTAACCAAGAGAATATAGCAAATGTGATGGAATGTCACTCTTGTAATTGTATTATTATACATTATATGGAAAAGGTGATGGAATGTCACTTCCGTGAATATA